ATATTACACATGACCAATCTGAGCTGATGTGCTGTGTGTGTGTGTGTGTGTGTGTGTACACAGAATCGTCTAGCCGAGTTGAGAAAATAGGGGGGGGGCGTAATAAAAAGACAAAAAGAAACAAGACAGAATAGACCACATAAGTGTTACGGGTAAAATTCGATCAATCGTTTATATGGTGTTGAAATCCGTCAGACTGAAACGGTCTGAGAGAATAGATCCTGAATACGAAGGGAGAGACAGAGATCCGGAAGAAGAATGCACACACGCACATGTGTTTGCGTATGTATGATGTATGTGTATGAGAGAGAAACCAGAGATAATTCGAAACCAGTTCAAGAAAAGCACACTTGGTGGGGGAAATTAGAAGTTAGCTGGATGCACAAACGCGCAGACGGAGAGAGAGAGAGAGGGAGAGAGAGAGAGAGAATAAAGTAGTAGACAGGTAGTATGGGAAGAGTACAAGAACAGGCAGGAGAGAGAGAAACCAATTCAGAAGGTGTCCGCAACGAAAGGCGAATGAAGTGAACGAAGGAGACAATGTATGAATGTTTGCAAAGTTACCCTGTATGAAGTTGAGGAGGAGGGGGAGTTGAAATAGGACGATTACGCAAGAGGACAAAAAGAAAACGCAAACGTACAAATGAATGAATTCTTGGCAGATGTAAGGATGAGTGTATATTCATGAAGGAATTGGAAATAGACAAAACATGGTGAAGTTTAAGAAATATCAGCTGATGAAAAAAAGAAATGTCTGGTAGATCCTATATGGTGAAAAGTCTCGGATCTACAGTCGCCTAGCTTTCTCATCTCCTGAACCAATTCTGCTCGAAGGGTCGATTAGGTTACGAGCAGTCACACCCACGAAGAAGGGTTCTATCCGAACGACGCATCGCAGCCCCAAATCTAAGAGGCTATTCAGTAGACGAGCGGGGTTGACCCATATTCACTAGAAATTATACNCAACCAGATAAGAACAGAGGCGACATTAACATCAAACAAAAAGAGCAAAAGAGCAAGAGGGAGAGAGATTATGTAATTAGAGAGGGTCGGAACTGAGAGGTTGACGATAGGAAACGAGAAAGTGAGACAGCGAGTTCCAGCAAAGTACTGCTTGTTTATGTATATGCTGGTGAACACACCGATTCTGACTGAGGAGGACAATTGAAAGCCGTGGGAGGAGAAGGGGCGCAGTGTGAACTGAAATGAACGAAATGGAAATTCAGCGTTCAAACAAATTGAAGCGGCCATGTAGATACGAGGCTTTGTTGCATTTTTTTCAAAATACGCTGGGCGTTTGAACTAGGTCACNACCGGCATTCCTTTGACAAAAGCATAGACATCAAGCAAACGGTGTCTGATTATGTCAAGACTGTGTGGGGGGAGGGGCTCAACGCACTGGTGATAATGAGGAGAATGAACGAAGAGGACAAAGAAGAGAACTATCAACCGCGGACATATGTGTATCGGAATGACTGAGGGAGAAAGATGAATGGATGAACCGAATGATTGGTTGGTAGATTAATTTGATGATTGATTGATTGATTGCGGAACTGGGCAAATTTAGTTACAACTGACTAGAAGTTAACATTGAGCATTGAGTCTGGATTTCTGGTGCTATGATTTGGGAAATGACGTTGCCGATCAATTCGAGATTCAAAATCTTTTTGTGAAGAGGGGGGGGGGAGCAGCACATCAGAAGTTCGTACAGTTTGACAGACTGATCGATGATGAATGGATTGTGCTCAGGAGAAAATCGAATTGAATATTCACTTTTGGGGTGTTCACGGTTGGAGGATGGAGACGGTTGGGATAGGTGAATTTTGAAACGAAAAGAGTGCGTCGATGGCTGACAGAAGAGGACGAAACACATCCCGAGTGGAGCAGTGAAAGAAAGAAAGAAATGGTCGGACAAAGGAGAATAAGAGCGATAACAGAATGAGTGATCGAGGGGATCCATGAACAGCAAACGATAATTTGCATGTGTTTGTGTCTTGAGGGATTGATTTGCACGTTTGTTCACAAAAACAGCTGATCTGGAAGGGCCGGTCCAATTTGTATACATATGTATATATGTATATACACGGTAATATTCAAATCCCCTATTTTGAGTTAGGGGTTTTGTACCCTGTCACCGTTTTTTAGTTCCAATAAACATCATCCATGTATTTCAATGGACAAATAGGACGTTAGTATTCCTCTGTGTGTGTGTGTGTGTGTGCAAGAGTGTATGGAGTAATAATTGTGTCAAATGACAAAAACAAATGCGGTTTAGGTCACATGTCGGAGGCAGTGTGACAAGAACTGAGTGCATGGGCGAGTGGGAGGAGGGCGGAGTGATCGAGTGGTGGTGGTAGTGGTGGTTGTTTACTCGACTATGATCAGCTTTATCCTCGCCAACATGATTATCGTCATTACTATGTGCTATGTGTACGTACGATCGTCATCGGTAAAATACGCGGATCACAATCAAGCCCGCATTGAATTATGCGTATTAGATGTGTCCGCATGAGATTGATACGAAAGCAACGGGGTGTTGTTATGACTCATTTCCATCTCACCCGGATTCGGATTCATATGTGATTGAGGGGTTTGATGATAAGCCATACTGGAACCCGGTCCCGGACCAGTCACACCCCCGATAGGTGTAGCTCCGGCACATGTGGTTCCCGGGCCTTGAAATACTGGGAAAACAGGACTGGATCCCTGACCAGGTGGCTGGTATATTAAACGTCCCTCAACTGCATCAGTGGGTCCAGTTATCGCGGATGAATCCGGTGAGGATGAGTTCATTACCGAACCGGGCATTAGATTGCTGGAATTCTGACCGGGGGCGTGTCCATTGGCCATCGGATAAACCATTCCGGGAGGATAAACATTCAATGCATTACTGGTCAATATATACTCATTACCACCAGCTGAGCTTACTGGGTACATGTTAGAGGGATATACAGTACTCAAGCCGTTAGGATCTTGCATGGCATAGTATGGTGCTGCCTGTTGTGAGCCCATCGATTGCATCAACAACGGATACGATCCGGGAACCATGGCCACCGATCCGGGAACCGCAGTCTGATAGCCCTGAGTGGGAACGAGAACCTGGCCGGGTCCAGTCATTGAATTTGATCCATTTGTGGAAGAGTAACCTAAAGTTCCTGTTCCCAGACCGGTTCCAGCCGGTGATGGTCTTAACCGTGGGTCACCCGAGGTATTCCAAGCCCCAGGTGTTGTAACCACCCCATTGCGTGATACGCCTATGGAGCTACTACTTGCAGCTGAAGGCGATTTCAGATG